GGTTTCCAGGGATTTGGGAAGGAGAAAGAATGGCTGAACATACGAAGTGTAGGATCTTTTCTAGGGCTGTGAAACTATTCTGTTACTTTTTATTTTTTTATTATTATACTTTAAGTACATGTGCAGAACGGGCAGGTTTGTTACATAGGTATTCATGTGCCATGGTGGTTTGCTGTATCCATCACTCCATCATCTACATTAGGTATTTCTCCTAATGCTATCCCTCCCCAATCCCCCCACCCCTTGCTATCCTTCCCTTAGCCCTGCAACCTGACAGGCCCCAATGTGTGATGTTCCCCTCCCTGTTTCCATGTGTTCTCATTGTTCAACTCCCACCTATGAGTGAGAACATGCGGTGTTTGGTTTTATGTTCTTTGGTCAGTTTGCTGGAAATGACAGGTTCCAGCTTCATCCATGTCCCTGCAAAGGACATGAACTCATTCTTTTTTGTGACTGCATAGTCTGTTACTTTTAAATTGTGAATACATGACACTATGCATTTGTTTAAACTCATAGAACTTCACAGCACAAAGAGAGAACCTTAATGTATGCAAATTTTAAATATAATTCAGGAGGTCAGAGGATCTTGGGAAATACAGAATATGACAAAAGAATCTAACTATATTACAAATATGTAAGATAACCTTACTGAAGCAGGTGAGAAGAAATGTGCTGACCTTAGCAACTTTGGAAATGAGTGAAGTCTGTAAGGCTAAATGCTAAAACAGTTGCATATAAACACCATATTCTAATTGATAAAGTTGTTTCCCACATGGACACAGGTTAGCAAACTCTGATCTCACTATACATTTATATTGGAAGTGAACAATTAAGGAAAAGAATGGCAGGTGGTGAGAACCAATTTTCTAACTACTGGATTGGGAGGTTACACATAAGGTAGGGGAAGAGGCTAAAATGATCCATATGGTAATAAACTAGAGTTGGAAACATCAGTAAGAACTCATGTTTAACTTAATATAAATACAGGTGGTTACACATATAAATATCTATAGATATGTGTATATGTGTATGTGTTACTATACACATTTTTCCTTGCCGATTAGGAGGGCTTCAAAACAACTATATCCCAGTAGCAATGAGTACTCTCAACATGAAGGTATTTGTTTCTGATATAATTTCTCCAATAAAAGGAACATGGGCTCTTTGAAAAAATATATCTAATTTAGGGACTGGGCAAGAAATATACAAGATGAGCTTAGAGTATATTAAAGGGCCAGAAAGTAGGGAAGTGCTCAAACACACACACACACACACACACACACACACACACACACACACACGATATGAGTACATCATAGGAATGAAAGAACCAACTGAAAAAGCTATTAATGTCCAAAACTGTAATAATTTGAGCAAGAAAATAAGGTAATTTGGATTCTAAAGCAAAGTATAAAATAACTATAAGTCCAAACTGGTATTGAGCAATAGTTAAGTAAGTAAATAAATGTGGGAGAATAGACATATATCCCATGTAGCAGAATACCAAAGAAATTATTTGGATATTCTGCTCTCAAAGAGTGGACCATAACCTCTCACTCCTTTAGCATGGACTGTATATAGTAACTTCCTTCCAAAAAGTATAGTATAAAAATGGGGATGGGAGTAACTTTACAGTGGAAAACCCTACCTAACACTACCTCAGGTGAGCAAGATCAACATCAACAGTGATAAGTCAGGCTGTTATGACATGTTGTGATTTTACCTCTAAGGTTTTTCTTCTAAGGATATATAACCTCAGTCTAATCATCAAAAAAATATCAGACAAATGCCAAACAATGGACATTCGACAAAATATTCCTCAAAATTGCAAAGGTCATCAAAAATTTAAAAAATGCAAAACAATCACAACCAAGAGGATCCTAAGGAGAAATGACAACTAAATGTTATGTGCTATTCTGGATGGGATCCTGGAACAGAAAAAAGGACATCAGGTAAAACGCATAGAAATCTAAATAAACTTAATAAAAATGTGCCAAAATCACTTCATTAACTATAATAAATACACCATATTAATATTAGATGTGAATAACAGGGGAAACTGAATGTGGGGTATATGGAATTTCTACTATTTATATTTTTTGTTTATAACAAAAAATTTTCATTAAGTACAATATGATAAACCTAAAATTGTTCTAAAATCAAATGCTTATTTAAAAAATAAAAGACCTTGCCCTTGACTCTAAGTTGCTCACATTCCTAGGAAAATACAGGAATATCAATAAACAGTTATGATGCAATGAGGTAAGTGCTGCAATAGAGATGCTAAAAGTTCTGTGGACACATGGACTATGTGCCTCAAAAAGGAGTTAACATTTCAGCTGTGCCTAGAAGAAAGGGTGAGAATCAGGCATGTGACAAAGAAGAAGAAAAAACCTTCCAGATGGAGAAAACAATGAATAAGAATTCAGAGGGAGGACATTTGTAGAACAGTAAGAACTTCAATGTGGGTGAGGCTTATAAATTATAGAGGCTAGAGATGATGCTGTAACATCTTTAATTTTAAAAAAAATTGAAAATGTTTCAGGAGTTCGAGACCAGCCTGGCCAACATGGTGAAACCCAATCTCTACTAAAAATAGAAAAATTAGCTGGGTGTGGTGGCATGGGCCTGTAATCCTAGCTACTTGGGAGGCTGAGGCAGGAGAATCTCTTGATCCTGGAAGGCAGTGGTTGCAGTGAGCCAAGATTGTGCCACTGCACTCCAGCCTGGGCAACAAGAGTGAAACTCTGACTCAAAAAAAATAATGTTTAAAATACCAAAACTGCTGGACAGGTTTATAATTCCTTTCACTGTGGTATGTTTTGTTGAAACAGTACTTCACTTAGCTAAGGATATACACTTTCAAAATTGGAAGGATTGCCCATAAAAGCTCACGATATTGCCTGTGCATTTAGCTACTTCCTTCAGCCAGAAATTTCCTTTTTACATATGGGATTTCTTTTATATTTTTTAAAGTGACACTATAACAAATTTCAATTCCACCAAAACCAAATCATATCAATGTTTTTCATATTTTCATTAAGTACAATATGATAAGAATGTGCAGAAAACCAAGATAAAAAATGATTCATTAACAATTCAGATACCGCCCATCTTTGTTGCTTTAACTGAGAGATATAAGTTGGGGTTTAAGAAATGCTCTTTAAGTTGGCCACGAAATAAACATGCTATAGTGTCATACCATGTAAAACAATGTTCTACATAAATCTGTCTTCCCAATAGACTTGTTTTTAATACCTAAAATACATTTTAGTATATACTGTTCTTAATTCTAGGGCATGTAGTTCTCCATTCACCCAAAATTTCACATCTAGTTAGACTGTTTAATTTATTTGCCCAAATCACTGTCTCAGATAAGGCTACATATTACAGAAGTATTTATGATAACCAGTGGAATAAAAACTTTCATTACAACTTTAACTTGGATATCAAGACTTAATTATTCTTTGTTTTTATATAAGAGAAAAGAAGATATTTTTGGGCAAATGAAGTTTAGAAAAGTACAGTTGCCCTGGAAGGCACTTAGGAGATGAAGAGTTCTATTTTCGGTTCTCTGAAATAGTCTTATATAAGTTGTTTTACCATTCAGGGTCCAGTGTTCAGTTTCCATGATATTGTGCTCCAATTGTTTTATGCTACGTAGTGGTTTAGAACCCTAGTATTTCTAGAAAAGGGAATGACATGCTTACTAAAGATGAGTTCTCTACTCTGAAGAATAAAGACTAGAAGTGCATTCTATTTTCTACTCAGAATAGATTGCTTTACTTTATGTTTTCAAATTCATTTGTCTCAATACTACTGGTTGCAAAAGCTACTTCAGCAGAGATTAAGGGAAAAAAAGTAATAGATGAAAAACAAACTTCAGAGTTGATTATATAGAAACCCAAGTATAGCCAGATACCTTAAAAGAAATGAATTATTATAAGATGTAGGTGACTACCACAAAACACTTCATATACAGGAAAACTAATTTAAGTGAACCCATGCACAAATAAAACTCTGTTTAATATAAAACAGCTAATGTCCTTTTTATGCTTTTCTATGTAAGTTTTACAAATATGATCATACACAAAAGTCACCAAGAAGAATCTCTCAAAGAATGAGAATAATATTTTTAACTTCTGAATGTTGTTCGTATTATCCCAACTTTTCTCATGAAACCACCTTGTAAGAACTGCACAATAAAGAAAGAATGTATGAATGCAACTTTTATGCGACAATAATGATGAGCATTTGGATATAATTCTACATTTTGCAAATTTATATCATATTACCTTACTTCATTTGATCCTTGCAAAAAGCCTATGAAATAAGAACAGTTTTATAATCATCATTTTATATTTGAGGAAACGAATATTCTGAAGGCTGTGGTAACTCCACCAACCTACATGACTAGTGAGTTGTAGATTCATAATTATAGGCAGTCTTCTGAATCTTATCCACATGTCTTTTGACCTTAGCAACCAGATAAGAAAAGGACTCTTTGCATCACATCTCACATAATTATTCAATGACTGCACCTGAAATTATGCTATTTTCAAGTTCATGCGAACACATATGTCAGATAGATAGAGTGATAAATGAATAAAAGGGAAAAATGTTTTTTTCTAATTTGGAGCAAGACAGGAAGACAGAGGGGTAGATTTCATATATTTTATTTAGCCACTCTAGAAAATGTTTCCAAAGATGATACCATTATAAAATATAAGCATAATCTTTGGAAATCTTAACTCATTATTTCAAGTACTTTTGAAAGCTAATATTTCTATAACTCCCTAAACATATTCTGTTTAGCCTTTTGAATGTACTTCAGTGGAAGATGATTCAAAAGCAAGAAGGAATAAATTTCACCCATAGGAAGCCATTTACCATTGATTATACACTTCTTTATAGATTAAAAAAATTAATATGTAGCATAAAAACTAACTGAAAATAGTAGTTTTATAACTTGCAATTGAAATATTGAAGACTATGCTTACCTGTAACAGTTAACTCAGTAGTTCTTCTCACAACAAAGCCTCCATATTTTAATTCACAGGTATAATTTCCAATGTCATCTTCTCTGACTTCTCTTATAAGTAAGGTGTCTCTTTTGAATACAATACTTGGCCTCCATGTTTTTGTCCTGCATTCCTATATGAAGAACATATAATTTTGGTAGCACATATAGTAACAGGAAAATATAAAACAGTTTTAAATAACTAAAACAAAAGCTTCTAAAATTACACTTTAAAGGGACCAAAAATTTGAAACTAATGCCAAAGAATTTCATTTCTTCTCCAAATCTCTGGGAAATCAACTTGCTTTCTAGAATTCGCCTTCCTAGAATAATATGGCAAGTTGTACTGGTCATTAGACATTTTTGAACCAATGAATATAACCTGAAGATTTTTTTAGAAAAAGTAATAATTAACTTCTAAGATTAGCATATCTATACCAGATATGTATTGATTTATTACATGTAAGAATAGAGGTGTATGCTAAGACTATCCCTGACATCATTTTAGAAACAAATGCTTCACATTTGATGATTGTGAAATCAACCATATTGAAATTGATCACATAAAATACTGTATTATTGGAAAGTGGAAAATTTGCCATACAAAAGAAACTGCTTCTATTTCAATATTTAAAACATTTTAGTTTTGCATTTAGTAAAAATTAGATCATAGTGTGTGCATGCTACAATCCATGAAAGAAACAGTCAACATTTATATGCAAGGTCTGTAGAGATCCATAAATATCTGTTTTCATTGTTGATAGACTTACCAAATTATGATCTCTGAATTAAACTTTGAATTATAATGATGTTGGCTCACAAGATTTCTGTTTTCGCCAAAACAAAATTCTATTTCCTCTAGCCAGATTTGAAATCAATGCAATGAGGATAAAATAGCTTTAAAACATTTGACACTTTTCAGAGGTAATATTATTTCTAAAAAATTGTATTGCCAAATCAAATTTTTACAGATCATTATTTTATGTGGCTCAATGCCTTTGTGTAATTGGGGGGCAATTTTCCAGTTATTTCAGACCAAAATATACATTGGATATGCCATATTAGTTGTATGACTTGTGGTAACTGAATAAATTTTCCACTGTATGTGTGAAATCTATATTTAGCCAAACTAATTATTTCATAGTATTCTACTATAGAAGTAGCTCTTAAATCTCTGTTTTTTTAGACTACAGGGGCTGATCTTTGACTATGGAAAAATAATCTGAAATGTCATGACTTTTAAATATCACATATACTGCATCCCCACCCACCACTTCACCAGTCTGTATAGCTTAAGGTCAAAATTATTGTGGCAATGTTGGAAATACGACTAAAGGACCAGTCACTTTTTAAATTGTGTATGTGTAGGCTCTCGTCTTTCAGCGAATTTTGAGATGCTCTTTGCAAAAGATGAGAAAAGACACACAACTCTTACACTTATTATTTTGATTTTCTGTTCTTGTGTCAGTTTGCTGAGAATGATGGTTTTCTGCTTCATCCATGTCCCTACAAAGGACACGAACTCATCATTTTTTATGGCTGCATAGTATTCCATGGTGTATATGTGCCATATTTTCCCTGTCCAGTCTATCATCGATGGGCATTTGGGTTGGTTCCAAGTCTTTGCTGTTGTAACATTCTCACTCATAGGCACGTGTTGAACAATGAGAACACATGGAAACAGGGAGGGGAGCATCACACACTGAGGTCTGTGGAGGGGGGGAACTAGGGGAGGAACAGTGCAGGTGGGGAGTTGGGGAGGGATAACATGGAAAAAATGCCAGTTATAGGTGATGGGGAGGAAGGCAGCAAACTACATTGCTATGTATGTACCTATCGATCCTGCATATTCTTGACATGTACCCCAAAACCTAAAATGCAATAAAATATATTTTAAAAAAACCTATTAGTGAAAAACCAAGAAACTGTATATAGAAACTGATGTCACACATGAGTACTAAGGAAAAGAAAGTCTACTTGGAGACTTTGGGTCAAACTCCCCTAATACCACTCCCTGTTGAAGCAATCGGAATCTGCCTGTGAAAGTCAGGCAAACCACAGGGTTTGAGATGTTAGGCTGGTTCAGGATGAGAAATACTCTGACAATTAAAAAAAAGAGAACAAGAAAATTCATCCCCACAGTAACAGAAACCAGCAGGACTAATATTTGAGTTCTGTTTAACATGGTCTAGGATTGAAAATCAAGCAAGTGACAAGTATAAAAACCTTCCAACAGTTCCCTTGATGTTCTGAATCCAAAATTTTACATTATCAAGAATCAAAAGTAAGTCTTACATAGGAAAGAGCATTGCTGATTTTGGCAAAATCTTTTTTTAAAATTGTTAAAGGTTTGTTTCTTGTTTTATTTCTAACAGTTTTTGAATTAATCAGCAGTCTGCCATGAGGGCTCACATTCTGTATACTGACATTTGTGGATCTAGGTACAAAGAGGCCCAGTTTCCTAAAGTCCTACTTCCAGTGAGCTGGACAAAGCAAATGTTATATAAGGATTCTTTAAAACACGGATAAAATATTCTGGAGGAATGTTCACAGTGTCTATATTTTTTGAGTCCATTCAATAAAAAAAATGTCTTTTATGGTATAAACAAGCTTAAAATTATTTTAAAATCTAGAATATTGGTAAATAATGATGGTGATAGGGAAGTCAGAGGTTGGATTATTCTGTTTGTGTTTAAAGTTTCTTCTGGTTTTTGAAGAAAGTTACTTTAATATTATATTTCAGGTATCATAAAATTTCCTCAGATGTTATTACTTTAAAATGTTTATATTTATACATTAAAAAGATTAGAATATGGACAAAACTATGTCCATTAAACAGAACATTCCATGAAAAACTAGTATGCAATTTTATCCTGGAAAATAAAATGAATCCTTTTTCCTTTTGTTTGGGGACATTTTGAAATGCTAATATGAAGAACCCTGAAAAGAAAGTTCAAGGTAATTTAGTTCCTGAAACTATCAGCCCAGACCATAATAATCTTGAAAGAATCATCCATATAAATAAGATGTAAACATAAACACAACAGCTTATTACACTGGACTACCAATGTAAATATTGACTAGAATTTACTAAAACTATTGGTTAAAAAACATATAATGACCAATACAACTTGCTGTATTATTTTAGAAAAGCAAAGCTAAACTATATCACACTTATCTAAATTTTCTATCCAATTTGAGCCAGAATATAAACACAGTTAATTTGTTAATAGGAAACTGAACCACCCATAATCCATACCTTATACCAAAGGATTTCAGGTTCTCTGGTTGGTAGTAAAAAATCCTCTATGTCACGACATGAAATTTCCTTGCTTTTGCTAAGTTCAGCTTTTTCGAAGTACTTCATCTTGGAATTATAGCAGAGTCCAGTGTCATTTTCACCCACTGTCAGCGAGATGGATACTTTCATACAGTAAGTGGAGTTTCTGTAACAAAGCAGAATACATATGGTGACCTAGTGTGAACCAAAAGCTAGTGCTGCCAAGGCAGTGTATTTAATTCACTTGAAAGACAGAGAAGCAAAGACTTCATTGTTTAACTAATTTTATGGTATCTTGGCTTATTCTACAGGGTTCTGTCTTGCTATCCAACTAAACAATACTTGATCCTACGAAGCTAAGAGCCTCGCTCCATTGCCAGGCTGGAGTGCAGTGGTGTGATCTTGGCTCACGGCAACCTCTACCTCCCAGGTTCAAGCGATTCTACTTCCTCAGCCTCCCAGGTAGCTGGGACTACAGGCATGCACCACCACACCCAGCTAACTTTTGCATTTTTATTAAAGACAGGGTTTCATCATGTTGGCCAGGTTAGTCTCAATCTCTTGACCTTCTGATCCACCCACCTTAGCCTCCCAAAGTGCTGGGATTACAGGTGTGAGCCACTGCGCCTGGCCCTGTATATTTGTTTTTATTTGCCAGAGAAAAAAAGTTATGTTTTAGACTCAGGTTCAGTTTTAAAATGTTTGACAGATATTTTTGTACCTAGAAACATTTTAAAAAAGGAAGACTTAGATCAAGAATAAAGTCAAGCCTGGGCTTATGTTAAAATTGGCAAACTCAATAGAAGTAGAAAAGTCTAAGTGGCCTATTAATCATTGTGAGGTACAGGAATAATGCTGCACACTCTTACAGTATTGGTTATCTTGGTAAGAACGGTAGTTACCAAGTCTGGGCAAGATCACATTTTTGGATAAAAGTACTGCAAAGTTACTATCTTTATTGACCCATATCTATTGAGTTGGGTCCTGGAGTCAGGTTGTCAGAGCGAAGCTTTCTACTGTGTTACATAAGGACAACCCCATCCTGATAGATTCTACAGAATCAGGTCATTAAATAAGCATCTCTTTTTTTCTTGCTGGTACATAAATCATGTTTATAACTTGGAATAAATGAGGCTATAAATCCTGTGCAGAGATCTTTTGGAAGGGTTGGGACCAAATGAAGTTTTTGGGTAAATTGCTCTTCCTTTTTAACTTCTACTTCCTTTTTAAGTCTCAGGACGTTCAATGAACACTGATAGTGTGTCAAGCATGGTGCTGGGAAGAAAAAGAGGAATAAAATATTGAATTCAAAGTTTGCTTTAGAACTTCCTATTTGGTAAATAAGTGCCCAACTGTTTATTCATGAATAAGAAAGAAACTTGGCCATCAAATTCCTGTATTTGAGCCTTACTGCTTACCATCTGTACAACCCTGGGCAATTCATTTAACTCCTTTGAGTCTCAGGTGGGGTGGAGAGACAGCACTTGTCTGAACATTAAAAAGAATCCTGGATAGAAATCTGCTTGGCCTGTCATAGGTGCTCAGTGATATTGGTTCCTCTTTGCATCTGTGCACAAGCACAACAGCTACTAAGTCCTCCTCCTTATTCAACTAATGCTTTGACATTTAAGTAGCTCCCTTATTTAGATTCTCACTTTTGTTTAATGATAATATTACACAGTGAGAATGTCCAGAAAATAGCTAGGTAGTTTATTAGGCTTCATATCTGGTAACAAATAATATTTCCACAAAATTAGATGGTTCTTTATTGAATGTAGACATCTCTAGCTTCCTATGATACCTAATCTGCAAGTAGATCTAAGATACTTAATGGGTGAAAATGATTAGTTATTAAAGAAAGTCAATCAGAAGTTTGATAAAAGTCCTGAGAGTGTGTGTCCAAAAATTTTGCTAGAAAAAGGCATATTCCCCGTCCTCAGTTCCTCATAATCCAGGGAAAGAGAAAGACAAATAAACGGGTGCAATTCAATATGATAATTGCTACAAAGAGATATGAACTACCACAGTGGTGTGAAAGAAAGAAGAAGGCTTCATAAATGATGCTACTTGAACTATCTTAGACATTTAATAAGAATTTGGCAATTTTAAAAAGGGTTATCTGAGGTAACAGTTTGCACAAAGCCTGGAAGGCATAAAACAACATTCTATGTTTAAGGAATTGCAAATAACGTGGAATGGATGGAGTATAAAGTAATTATGACGGACTTGAGACTGGATAGATGCACAGAAGCAAGACTGAAAGTCACATAAGCCACAGAAGCAAGATTAAAAGTCACATAAGCCACTTCAAAAAGTTTAAACTTTATGTTGAGGAATGATGAAATTTGGATCTTGGAAAAGTTTTTCTAATTGTAATGAGAAAAATGGGTTTGACTGTAAGGAAGACTAAATGCAGTGAGAAAAATTAGAAAGCTACTGCATTCATTCAGAAACAAATGGCAGCCCTAGTGAAAGTGATATACATTGAGACAGAAAGGAGGGATCATGTTCAAAATGTATATAAGACATTGAATCAATATAACGGTGAGGAACCAAAGCAAAGAGAGGCATCCAAGATGATCAAGAATTTTTCTTAGTTGCATATATGAAAGTAGAGTCAATCTTTCAGCATAAAAATCACTGAAAAAGAAACAGCTTTGAGAGAAAAGAGTATGTTAAATTTTAGCTTGAGCTTCACACCCAAGTGAAAAAGATATCCCTCTTTGGGTTTGCCAGCAATACTGCTCATGTATTATTTATTAATTTTACTCCAGAACTGACTGGAGCATGCTCTTTCCAGGCTCATTACAACAACATTTTCTTTCCAGAAAAAAATAATTACCCAAATTAACCTATTAACTCTTTTAGGGCACATTCAAATATGCCTTAAGAAACACAGAATTTAAAACAAACAAACAAACAAAAAGTCTTTTTAAAGAAGTAAATCTGTGCATTATAATTTTGAAATTTCCATGTCAACCATTTAGACACAAGAGTCTCAGGATTCCTTTCTCCTCAAACTATTGGTATGTCTGTTGTACTATATCTCTTTGTATAGAATACCAGACATTCACATTCAGAGAGGAAGAGAGAGGCAGGGTCAAGTGAAGAGCAAGACTCCAAAGCACAACCTCATGGGCTCAGATTCAAGCTCAATCACTCACTATTTTTGAAAATTAGGGAAACTCACTTGACTCCTTTGGCTTCCATATCCTTATTAGGATAAGGAGAAAATAATACTAAAGACTCCACAAGCTGCTGTGGGAAACAAACAATAAAACACATAAAGAGCTTAGGACATTGCCTGTTTTACAGTGAACACTGAGTAGGTCTTAGCTCTTACTATCAGCACCGCATCCTTCATTCCCATTTCCTTTATATTTCCATTTTTGCAGTACAGTCACACAGTGTTTGTTTAACAGGTAAATTAGAAAATGATGAGGCCTTTAGTTCTTTGGTGTCTATTAGTGTGAAGCTTAAAAATCCAGATAAGTCCTTATACTTTTCATTTGAAATATATGAGTGGGTTGAATTAGAATGACTAAAGTTGAAGTAAATATGGACTCCTCACCACAGCCATGACCTGTTTCTCTTCTTCAAATACAACTGTCCCCTACTCTTCAGAAAGTGGCTCCAGATGAGCATCACTTAGGTATTCTTATTTTCCCAACTTTTATTCTTCAGCTATGTGAGATGAGTGCTGATTTACAACTGTCTGGTAATGTCTAGAACTCCACCCTCCCCAGGATGGCACTATTTTCAAATTACTTTCAATGTTTAATACTTGTTTACTGTTTCTGTTCATCAGAAGGCGATTTAAAAAGCTAAAAATAAAGCAGTATCCAACAAACGCTATAGTTTTATTTACTGAGAAGAGCTAACAGGAAGCAAGCAACTTGTGATACATTAATAAACACATGATACCCTGAGGGGAATTTACACACTCTCAAAGCAAAAAGTGCATTCCACCATCATCAAACTTGCCACATGACTGCTATGGTTCTCTGCTGTTAGGGAAATAACACGGAATGGGGTAAATGGGGTAAAGAGAATGCTCCTACAGGACTTATGGTAAGACCATTAGCACATATTTACTCAGCTTTTATTGTGTATAACAGATGGCTTCCGTCTAGGCAAAACTTAAATCATAATTGCTGGTTTCAATGTTTATAAAATGGCTAGAGAGATAGGACATGCATGCAGGCAGAGAAAGCAGAGTTATTTATAACTGAGAGTCAATACCCCACTATCCTTTCTAGTGAAGAAATAATATTAGCATAGACTTTAAAAAAATACCTAGTTGTCTCTGACAAGGGTGACCCTGTGGCCCACACAAGGTACACACACAATGTATCGTAGAAACAACTAACATAAAATTACTTCTTTCAATGCCTTAACATTACAGTAATGGAACCCAATGCTGAAAGAAGTCAATGAATATTTTGAATTCTATTATCTAATTAGTGTAGAACTGGAGTTAAAACTCACATCTCTTAACTTCTAATTCACTGATCTCTTCTATATGCTAGGAGAGGTAATTGGTGCTGGGTTTCCACTCATAGAGTCTATATACCTATAATTGATATAGATATATAGATATAGATATTCCATTGTATAAAACAAAAGAAAGTTACCTACCCTTAGTCCTTGGTGTTACTTTATTTTATACTCTAAAATAAATGTGTTCTGGACATTAAGGACTTAAATTTTCAAATTTTCTTCATGACTTTAATGACTCAAGTTTTTAAAAAATCCATGATCTAACTTGATTTTTTTGAAAATGTAGGTCCTTGAAGTCCCCCAAATCTGATAAAGGATATAAGGGAGCAAGCGACCTAAAATACTATGGTTTCTTCATGTTTTTTCTACTATATAAAAGCACTGATTTCTGAATCACGGGCTTTGAGTCCTGCTTTACAAAGAAAAAAAAGTCTGATTCCGAATTGGGAATTCCCAAATATTTCTGAACACAATGATCTCCATATATGACACAAAATTAAATTTAAAATAATTACTTTCATACAGATTCCAGAAGTCAGCACAGCACTGTGAACTTCTCTACAGGTTTCTCAGCACTGTGGTACTTTGACATCCATATATGACACAAAATTAAATTTAAAATAATTACTTTCATACAGATTCCAGAAGTCAGCACAGCACTGTGAA